ATATGATGCTGCTGCTGCTGCTTCTGGTGCTGCTGCTGCTGCTGCTGCTGCTGATGATGATGATGATGATGATGATGATGATGATGATGATGATGATGATGATGACGATGACGATGACGATGAGCAGATGACGAGGATGTTTCGAGCGGCTTGCTGGCTCTAGCACTCCTAAAGGGGGGGCGCCAGGGGTATCTCACAGCCTCCGTTCGCGCCAAAATGGCGCGGATGTCTCGAGTGGTTTGTCTGTTTAGGTCGCGAACATCCTCCGTTTTCGGAGCAGATGTTGAGGATGTCTCGTGCGAGGCGCCTCCTAAGGGGGGGCCGCCAGGGGTATCTCACGGCCTCCGTTCGCGCCCAGATTGCGGGGATGTCTCGAGTGGTTTGCCTGTTTTGGTCGCTTACTTCCTTTGCTTTCGGAGCAGATTTGGAGGATGTCTCGTGCGAGGCGCTGGCTATCGCGCCCCAGGGGGGCCAGATTTTGAGGATGTCTCGATCGGTTTGCTTGCTTTGGTGGCCAGACTCGTGGGCACAGATTCTCCCCAGGATGCCACAGGAGGCTCCAGAAGGCTCCAGGAAGCCCCAGGAGGCCACATGAGATCCCAGGAAGCATCAGGAGGGCACAGGAAGACTCAGGGGGCCACAGGCTGTCCGAAGAGGCTCCAGGAGGCCCCAGGAAGCTCCAGGAGGCCTCAGGAAGCCACAGGAGGCCCCAGGAGGCCACAGGAAGCGCCAGGAGGCTCCAGAAGGCAACATAAGGCCTCGAGAGGCCCCAGGAGCAGGAGGCCTCAGGAGGCAACAGGAGTGGCTCCAATCCCATGTGTTTTACGTGTGCTCCTATAGATTGGTGGGCCCGCCTCCCCAGGCGCCCGTGCCCGATATGTTGTGCTTTGCTCGCTGGCCCACGCAGCTCTTTCACGAGTCGACCACCTGCCTAAGTAGGAGATTGGGACGGCAGGCCACCAGCCATGACTCAAACGGAGGCGCGACGGTTTTTGGCCGGCTTCAGGTATCCCATCTCCCCCCTCCTCATTACATTGCCCGCCCCTCGTCTGCGATTCTTGCTGGCCACAAGTTCTGTCTGTGCTGCCTGCTCAGGCACGCTTTGCACTCTAGCTGCTTAGCGGGACAACGCTTGACTACGTCAGTCATCTGCCTTTCTGTCGGTGGATAGCCCCACTGTGGCCTCTGAATGCAAGCGCGTGCGCGTCTCAGCGTTAGCTGCCGCCTCTGGCTATTCGCGAAAGCATTTATATCGCCGTGGCCCCTCTCCTTTTCCTCTAAATCACCTCTTTCCTCACCTTTCTCGCGGCAGCCACCGTTTGCCGGAGGGCATTCCACGTCGGCCATTGCTCAGCCAGCGAGGACGCACGCGTGAAGCTTTGTTTCGGTAGCCAGGGAGGTGCGTGGCACCTCTTCCCGCTGCCTTTGCGACATGATGGCAGACAACCTATGTAGCGCCATGTTGAGTCCAGAAATAGTCCTCCCGCCTCCAGTCCTTTTTCCCCCCCACACCTCGAGAAATGGAGCGAAACACCTCGTGGTGTTATTTTCACGGTGCCTGGAGCCGCAGGGTCGCTCCCACCCGCGCGCGCGCGCGAGGCAGCAGCAAGCAGGACGCCTCCCCTCTGCAGCCGCTCGACGAGGCGCCGGCGGTCGGGGCCCGAGCTGCCCGAACGGCCTGCTGTCTCTGCCAGCAGTGGGCACGAACGAGAGAAACTCGAGCCGATGCAGTGAGGCTCGAGGAGGAGGAGGCGGCAGCGGTCAGATGGTGACGACGAGCATTTGCCATGAGATGCGCCCACCGCGTCTGGCATCCTTCCTCCACGCTGGTGGTCGGGCTGGAGCTGCAGAACCGGCCCATCGAGACTCTGGGGTGGGGGGCGTGTCGGACGGGCCCCGAATCGAGATAATCCGTTCCAGAACATTCTATCACGCTCTCAGAGCGCTCCGGAACGCTCTGGAACGAACGGCCGCGGCGCCCGATACATCTTCCAATTCCGCCGATTCTCAAAGACTCTTGGTTTACACCAGTCCGATGTTGTCTCGATTCTGCCTTCATCTTCGGGTGGCAGCGGGATCCGGGAGGTCCAGGGGATCCCGGGGCTCGGGGCCAGATGTCCGCGAAGAGAATGGAGCTGTTGGCCAGGCTGCGCAAAGGCCTCCGGCCTGAGCGCCCTGTCGTCTAGCAGGCTGTGTGCTCTGACGTGGTCCGTGCTCTGAACTCTTAGGTCCTTCGCGGCTACGGGCCATGGCGCAAGGCCAACCGTTTGATTTATGGCCCTTCACGTGGCAGGATCCCCGCCAGGCCCACGGGGCTCTCGTCTTTCGGAGTGGAGGGCTCCCCGTAGCGAAAACGGTTGCTTTTCAGAGGCCTCTCATGCAGCATCGGCCATGAACCCTGGACTCACTGTGGACCTCGTCTTCATCCTGATCATCCTCCTGCCTCTTTTCTTCCGATGGAGAATAGTTGGTGCATCATGGCCAGTTTCTCGTTCTGGAACGATTTGTGACAGTCTCAGGGCCCGAAGTTGGCCCCAAGGGCCGGAGTTGGCGAGAACCCCCCCGTCTTTTCCGTCTCCCCCTTTCTCCCCGACCTGCCTCGTCCTCCATCGTTTCCGTCGCCTCACCCGAAGCCCCCAGCCAGCAAGCCAGGCTTCCACCATCTCTTCCACCTCCTACTCCTTACAGTCGAGTTTGGTTAGTAGGCCAACCTTGCCCCAAATCGAGGGCACCTTGTGTCTTGTATTTCGCGACCCATGCCTTTTCTATTTATGTGGCAAAGTGGCCTTCGGAAGCATCTTGTGTCCTCTCCAATCATCACCTTTCGCATTCCGCTACTCGCAAAGTGCCTCCTCGCAAATGTCAGAAAATTATCCAGGCAAAGGACTCAACCATATGCAGTTGTGAGTAACGCAATTGTTGGTATCGTCTTCGGTGGTTGAGCTCCTTATGGGGCAGGAAACGTGTGAGGGGTGTGCCAAGTGTCATGCGAGCGCAGCCACTGGGGCCTTCGGTGGAGATCCCAATGGGGCCGCAAAACGTGTGAGGGGCGTGCCGACATGGGTGCAGTGGCGTCATACGAGCACAGCCACTGGGGCCTTCGGAGAAGCTCCTTATGGGGCAGGAAACGTGTGAGAGGTGTGCCAACATGGGCGCGGTGGTGTCATGCGAGCGCAGCCACTGGGGCCTTCGGTGGAGCTCCCACTGGGGCCACGAAACGTGTGAGGGGCGTGCCGACATGGGTGCAGTGGCGTCATACGAGCACAGCCACTGGGGCCTTCGGAGAAGCTCCTTATGGGGCAGGAAACGTGTGAGAGGTGTGCCAACATGGGCGCGGTGGCGTCATGCGAGCGCAGCCACTGGGGCCTCCGGTGGAACTCCCTATGGGGCCACGAAGCGTGTGAGTGGTGTGCCGTTGGGTGCGGTGGTGTCATGTGAGCGCAACCACTGTGGCCTTCGGTGGGGCTCCCCATGTAGCCACGAAGCGCTGTACTGGGCGGGAGAAACGCAGGGAGGAGGGAGTGTGGGGAGGAGGGTGAGGAGGAGGGGGAGGAGGAGGAGAGGAGAGGAGGATACCGCGGGGCGCCGTCTTTGCAAAAAACGAGGACCCAACACCACAGGATGGTTGGGAACAACATGCCTTCCTATACGTAAACGATCGTAGACCCCCCGCGGCGGATCCAGGCCATTTGCGAGTGTTTATTTCCCGAGTAGTGAAACGTCTCGAGGCGGAGTGTTTCTTGTCGCAGGGGTCTTGCCCTTCCAGGGTTCCAGGCCCTCTCTGACAAGAGTGCCTCTTGTCAGAGGGGCCCCTCTTCGCCTGTTCCCCTTTTGGGCACTTCTGTGTGCTGAGCCTTCTCCCTTGGATCGGGGCGCTGAGGTAAAACATCGTCGCAGCGATTATTTCTTTGCGCGCGAGTCGGTTTGTTGCACAGCTGCGCTTTGCAAGTCGAGCTGTTTGTCTGCCACCGCTCCCAGTGAAGAGTTCGCTCCCATCTTCTCCCTCCCCCTCCCCCCCAAACAAGCTGTAGGCCAAACCCTGAGATCCGACGTTGCGAAAGAATTGCAGGGAGGAGGGGGAGGAGGGAGGAGGAAGGAGGAGGAAGGAGGAAGGGGGTAGAGGAGGAGGAGGCGGAGGAGGAGGAGGAGGAGAGCAGGGAGGAGGAGGACGATGAGGGACGAATCACGGCCAGAGCCCTCGTCGGCGGCGGTCGTGATCGGCATCCCAGATCCGTCGGGACCGATGCCGAGATTTACAGCAGCATGGGTGGCGGCCGAGCTCGACGGTCGCGACCAGCAGTATCCGGCATTCAGCGATCAGGGCCCCGCAGGGCCTCCACCACCGACGGCGCGCTCGCGCGAGCGGCGGCGGCCCCCTCGACGCTGGTCCGGGGCGGCGGCCCCCTCGACGCTGGTCCGGACGTCCGCCCCGTCAGGTCTGGGACGAGGGCCCGCGCGGCGATGTTCCGACGTGAGGGAGGCCGACGTGAATCCGACGGGAACCCGACGTGACTCCGACGTGGGTCCGACGCAAAGACTGCTTCAAGTTGCCGCGCGAGGCCTCGAGGATGTTCCTCGCAACGGGTCTCCTGCCGCCTCCTCCCCCCGACGTCCGGGTGTTGCCAGAGGGTGGCCCTGGCCCACGGTGCCCCCCAGGATTTCCAGGGAGGCCCCCACGGCCTCCAGAGCACCCCTCACGAGGCCCAGAGGGCCCCAGGTGGCTCCAAAATGGAGCGAAGAGCTGGGGGCACCTTGGCCCGGGGGCACCCCTGACCAACCGCCGACATGGCGGCGCCGCGCCGGCCAGACCCGAGCCCGAGCCACCGAGAACGCCGCCTCCCCGCCCAGCCGCCCTCGCGCGAAGGGCCCGAGCCCGAGAGGCCCGTGGGCGCCCACCGCCCGGCCCACGATCCGAAGAAGCCCCCGACCCGAAGAGCCCCCGCCGGCGAGCCAGGCCGCGCTGCCGCCGCGCGCCGCCCCCGCGCCGGGGGCGGCGGGCGCCGAGGGGGCCGCCGCCGCGCGCGGGAGCGCGCCGTCGGCGGCGGAGACCCCGAGGGGGGCCGAGCTGTCCGAGGCGCGCCGGGCGACGAACCCAGCGCGCGTGGATCGTGCTTCCAAATTTCGACTGGACGTAAGAGTGACCTTTCGCCGGAGTGGCCTTTGGTGCGGGCACAGAAGGGCCCCCGGATGGCTGAACGCGAAGCGCGCCTGGATTTGGCCTACCCGCGGCGCCCCCCAAAGCCGCTCACCAAAGGTCACTCTTACCCAGGGTCACTCTTGCGTATAGCCGAAAATTGCGCGCCAATTTTTCAAATCACAGCGTTTCTGCCTCGACGCAAGCCTGGGGGGCCCGTTCTCGGGCCACGGGGCGAAGAAGGACCCCCTTACAGAAGGGGTCGGGGCCTCGTGGGGCCTCGTGAGGCCCCTTGGGGCCTCCCTGGCGGCCCCTGGAGAGGCCGAGTTTGGTCCGAGTCCTGCCGGAGACGACGAACCCGTTTTCAGGTTTCGCCGTGGTCGGGGGTTCGTAGAGGGGGGTTGTCCCAAGGTGGGTTTAGGGAATAAGCCCAGCTGGATGCTCACATTTCCTTCCTCCATGGGCCGCTCGAGCTGTCCGAGGCCCGCCGGGCGACGAAACTCGGCCACGTGCAGAGGGGATCAGGGGGAGGGGGAAAGGCTTCTTAGAAGAACGACCCCCAGGGAAGGGTTCGGGGCCTCATGCGGCCCCTTAGAGCCTCTTGGGGCCGCGGAGGCCTCGAGGGAGGCCGAGCTGTCCGAGGCCCACCGGGCGACGAACCCATTTTCAGGTTTCGCCGTGGGGGAAGCGGGTCCTGAGGGAAACGGGTCTTGAGGTTTGTCGCTTTTTTCGGGTTCTCGGGGCCCTCCACGGGCCCCAGGACTGTCAGAGAACGGTTTAGGATAGAACCAGTTGCCAGGTTGCCCTACACGTCGGATGGGCGCCCATACCATCCTGAGGGAATGATACCGGGCAGCTCAGGCAATGTGGATTGTGATTCGGGACGGTACCCTGTTGTGCAAGAGGCGGGAGTAGGGAGTACCAGGGTTTTGTGCCGTTCCACACGCCGCGAGAGAGATTGGGGGGGCAAGATCTGTCCGCTTTTGTCTTCGCTTGCATTCACATGACCATGTCAAGCATCGCTTCACACTACGCACTCTCTGGTCGCAGCCGTCTAGGGGCGAAACGCGTCTTATATGAACAAGCCCCGAAGCTTCAGGCGCAGAGGTTCTCATGAAAAAGCGCGCGTCGTTCTTCAATCCCAGCGGTTTTCCTCGACTCAAGCCTTCGGGGCCCGTTCTTTAAAGGGCAATCAAACGCGGATCCGGGACGCAGAACGTCCCCAAGGGAAGGCGCCGGGGCCTTTTGGGGCCTCTTGGGGCTCCTTAGATGGCCGCGGAGACCCTGAGTGAGGCCGAGGTGTCCGATGCCCGCCGGGCGACGAGCACGGCACGGGCCGCACGGGGTGCTGCAGGGGAGCCCTGGGGGTCCGGGCGCTGCATCCTGTGGTCGAGCGATGCCCTGCGGAGGAGGCGCGCGGGGGGGGGAGCGGGCCCGCACGTCGGACTAGTCCCAGGCGACTGGTTCCGATTCCAGCCAGCCGGGCCACGCTTCAACCGGCCAAAAAACCAAGTGGCACAAATTACAGCTGGCCATCTTGAGCCGACAGTCGGACTCTACGTGCGCGCATGTCAACACGGCTCAGACATCAGATGCACGTTTGGAGCGCCACGTTTGGACTTGGTACCAGTTTACTTTCTGGCATGTGGGGGTTGCGTTGCCTTGAAACTGCACATTGATCCCCCGATTTTGCCCAGCTTTCTGCACGGCTGGCGCATGAGAACTGGACAGCTTTCGCACGACTGACTCGAGCAGCCCGCAAAGTTTGATTTTCCTCCGGCGAGGATCATCGCAGGTGTCTGCCCCTTCGGCGGTGACCATCATCGGCCCCACCCCCTGGCAGTTGCCGTCACAGGGGCTGGCTGGGTCCCGCTCCCATGAGCACATCAGTCCACCATGCCGCCAATATGCGCTGGAGGGGGCCGAGGTCCTCCGCACAGCCCTTCGGCCAACGAAGACGGCTGTAGGGATGGGTGCCAACGTACCCACAACTTGGACCTCAATGCCTGAAGGCGCCAGTTGCCACCATCCTGCGTCTTCCTCTCCATGGGTTCGGGGGATCCCCGAAGCCCCGAGGGCGCAAATCCTGAAACGAATCTTTCTGGGGAGCTCCAAGGAATCCCGAAGAATTTCCGAGGAAACGGAAGGAAGCCCGAGGAATCGTTGAGGAATCCCACGGAAACCCGCGGCATCTTAGGAGCCCCACGGAATTTAGGAAAATCTGCGAGGAACCCCAAAGAATCCCGAAGTATCCCTGTGCGTCCCGAGGAATCTCTGAGGAATCTCTAAGGAATCTTGGAAGAATCCGGAGGAATCTTTGATGAATCAAAAGGAGCACAGAGGAATCGCGAGGAATCTTCACAGAATCCGGAGGGACCCCTTGGAATCAGCACGAAGACGTGTGGAATCATCCAGGAATCCTGAGGGATCCTCCCTGGGGAATCTTGATGGAATCCTGAAAAAATCTTGAAGGATCCTCTCAAGAAGGAATCTAGCAAGAATTTGCAAGGAATGTGTAAGAAATCTTTGAAGAGCATCCGAGGCGGTTGGAATTTGTATTGGTTGAGATTGGTACCACAATGGCCGGAATCCGTTCCGATCGGTCGTAATGCGTCCCATTTTCGGTTCCTCCCCCCCCCGGCCACCCCCCCCGCGGTGGCACAGCATTTTTTCGCGGGGTATTGCTCCCTCCCATTTGTTCACACTGGGCGGTTTCGCCCAGTTTCGGGCCGTGGGTCCATCGCAGGTCGATCCAGGCAATCTGGCCGCTGCAATTGGTCACGCCGCGTTTTCGCACGGTGCTGGGCGCCCCAGACTACCACATAGCGATCCAGCTCGGAAATGACAACAGAAATATTCATTATTTATCGAATTCCAGTCGCGTTTTTCACAATGTCGTATCTTGTAGAGTTTTTGCATTGCGAGAAAAAACACGATGGAAGGTGTCCGGTAATCTTCTGCTTTGGGGAGCCCTCGTCAGGCCCCGGGACCGCCCACACACTGCCCAGGACGAATATCCATTACACGTAGGAGTGACCCTTCGCCAGAGTGACCTGTGGTGCGCGCCCATTGTGCACCCACCGATCGCTGAATGCGATGTGATAGCTGCGGCCTGCCCGCTTGGGTTTGGCCCCCCGGGCCTCCCAAGAGCCGCGCACCAAAGGCCACTCTTGCCTAGGGTCATTCTTGCGCGCAGCCGAGAAACGCCGGTCCCCGGGAATCGAGACCTCTGGGGCCCACGTTGTGAGAAAGTCATGACGTCGGGGGCCTGCAGGGGCTTCTCCCTCGGGGGCTTCACGCCAGGCATGTTCGCCTGGCTTCGGGCCCCGGGGCTATAAGAGACCGATCTGGCTCGAAAGGTGCCGCAGAAAAGGGTGGACCTACCGGCTAGAGTGATCCTTCGCTGGGGTGACTCTTGGTGCGCGCCCAGTGAGGCCTCCCGATCGCCGAGTGCGGTGCGACAGTAGCGTTCTGCGCGCCTGTGGTTGGTCCACCCGCGCCCACAAAAAGAGCCGCGCACCAAGAGTCGCTCTGACCAAGGCCTATTCTAGCGTGTAGCCGAACCTACCAAGGGCTCTGGTCGCGATTTTGCGCAATGTCGCGTCGAGTCTCAGGGGGCCTCGCCCCCAGCGCTTCTCGCCCTCGGCGGAGGGCCGGCCAGGGTGCAGAGGGCTGGCGTCCTCCGCCGGCGGAAGTGCGGTGGACATCGGGGTTGGCCGCGCCGCGTTTTCTCACGTTTGTCGCCCCCTAGTTGATTAACAAGAAGTTCGAAGTGCCCTTGCAGCCTTGCCTCCTCGGCCCATCCTTGGCCACCTTCGTGGGCCGCGCCCCGCTCGACAAGCTTCGACACGGGCGTGCTCCCCGCGCGTCGCCTCGGCGAGCAGCCCGGGCGATGAGCACATCCGTCCCCGCGGTGGCACGGCCGTGTCCGTGATACCGCGGCGGGTGGGCATTGATTGGTCGGGGAAGCGTGAGGCGCAGGGGCAGCGCCGGGGGGATAGACACAGAGGGGTACCCAGAGATCCCACGTACTGAAAAGATCAAGGCGGAGGTGTTTCGCAGCGTTCGGCCTCTATTGGCCTTCGCCAGGCCTCGGGAACCGTCAAAAAACACCTCTGGATGAAAACCTGGTCCTCGGGAATGGGTCGAGACTTCCGGGACTCCTTATTGAGCAAATCACGACATTGGATCTCTGGGTAATTACGCATCGACCCCCAATCGCCAACTGGTCACCCAAGAGCCGCGCACCAAAGGCCACTCTTGCCTAGGGTCATTCTTGCGCGCAGCCGAGAAACGCCGGTCCCCGGGAATCGAGACCTCTGGGGCCCACGATGTGAGAAAGTCAGGACGTCGGGGGCCTGCAGGGGCTTCTCCCTCGGGGGCTTCACGCCAGGCATGTTCGCCTGGCTTCGGGCCCCGGGGCTATAAGAGACCGATCTGGCTCGAAAGGTGCCGCAGAAAAGGGTGGACCTACCGGCTAGAGTGATCCTTCGCTGGGGTGACTCTTGGTGCGCGCCCAGTGAGGCCTCCCGATCGCCGAGTGCGGTGCGACAGTAGCGTTCTGCGCGCCTGTGGTTGGTCCACCCGCGGCCCACAAAAAGAGCCGCGCACCAAGAGTCGCTCTGACCAAGGCCTATTCTAGCGTGTAGCCGAACCTACCAAGGGCTCTGGTCGCGATTTTGCGCAATGTCGCGTCGAGTCTCAGGGGGCCTCGCCCCCAGCGCTTCTCGCCCTCGGCGGAGGGCCGGCCAGGGTGCAGAGGGCTGGCGTCCTCCGCCGGCGGAAGTGCGGTGGACATCGGGGTTGGCCGCGCCGCGTTTTCTCACGTTTGTCGCCCCCTAGTTGATTAACAAGAAGTTCGAAGTGCCCTTGCAGCCTTGCCTCCTCGGCCCATCCTTGGCCACCTTCGTGGGCCGCGCCCCGCTCGACAAGCTTCGACACGGGCGTGCTCCCCGCGCGTCGCCTCGGCGAGCAGCCCGGGCGATGAGCACATCCGTCCTCGCGGTGGCACGGCCGTGTCCGTGATACCGCGGCGGGTGGGCATTGGTCGGGGAAGCGTGAGGCGCAGGGGCAGCGCCGGGGGGATAGACACAGAGGGGTACCCAGAGATCCCACGTACTGAAAAGATCAAGGCGGAGGTTTTTCGCAGCGTTCGGCCTCTATTGGCCTTCGCCAGGCCTCGGGAACCGTCAAAAAACACCTCTGGATGAAAACCTGGTCCTCGGGAATGGGTCGAGACTTCCGGGACTCCTTATTGAGCAAATCACGACATCGGATCTCTGGGTAATTACGCATCGACCCCCAATCGCCAACTGGTCACCCAAGAGCCCCAACCTGCCCAGGAACGTGCGGATCCATTATCGGGGGCCGATCGCCGATCTGTCGACGATGTATCGCCGATTCCAGGTCGAAATCCCCCCCCTATGCCAGTCCCCTCTGATCGTTGCCCCTCAAAGACTCGAGTTCGCCAGAACTCAGGTTTGCCGACCCTTTTTGACGGGCCCGTTCCGGACTTTGACGGTCCAGTTTTCGTGGGATATTTGCGGCGGAAGCTCGCTTCTAATTTCAGATTGGGTCTCGTCATTCTCTCGAATGGGTAAATCAAAAGGTTCCGATACCGCGACTCCCCAAACCTCTCCCGGGGTACATTCTCACCAGAATCTCGAGGCAAATCCGGAGGTGGCGACGAGGGCCTATAATCACAACCGGGAGGCAGGTGATGTTCTCAGGGCTGTTCCCTCACAGGAGGGGAGGAGGAGGAGGAGGAGGAGGAGGAGGAGGAGGAGGAGGAGGAGGAGGGGGAGGAGGAGGAGGAGGAGGAGGATGGGGAGGAGGAGGAGGAGGATGGGGAGGAGGAGGAGGAGGAGGAGGAGGAGGAGGAGGGAAACCCAGGGGCGAAACAGGGGGAAACCGAGGGAAGAGCAGCGGCATGGGGGCCGTTTCTTCCTCCGATGGACGGCCCCGTCAGGCCCAACCCCGAGCCCCCCGAGCCCGAGCCCCACGCCTCCCCGGCTCGAGGCGCGAGCCCACGGCATTTCGCGCTCCCGTGGCCGCGTTCCGAGCGGGGGTTCCTCCGCTCAGCGCCGCTCGGCATCCTCGTGGGGGGGGGGGTCGCGGCCGAGGGGGCCCCCGGGGCCGCGAGAGGCCGCGGGCCGAGTGGTCCCGCGCACTGCAAAACGCAAGGCGGAGGCTTCCCGCAGTTTTCGGCCTCCAGGGGCCCCCGCAGGGCCCGGGCTTGTCCCTCCTCACAGGCGGAATGTTCAAGAAGAGGAAACACATAGTCTGGGGACGATGTTCTTAGTGGTACTTTTGGGCATCTTTTGGGCATGGTTTGATTATTTCCTATGTTTCGGCCAACATCCCCCTGTAGGGGGACACGCCCGACTTAAAACAGACGCCTCGGTATGAAGGACCGATCCTCAGGCACCGGGTCGAGACTTCCGGGGGGCCGCGTTGGAACGGCCACGACAGCGGATCCCTGGGGGCAGCGAGCGTGCGTCCCGCCCGCGGCGAGGCGGCCTGGGCGCCCATGGGCAACGAGCTGGTGGAACGGGCCGTCGCGCGCGCGGCGGACATGGTGGAGGCCACGAGGGGCAGGGGCCCCGCGGGGGCCCCGCGGGTCGGAGGAAGAGGGGTGCGGATCTCCTCCTCCTCTGGAGACTGCTTTTTTAGGGTCCTGCGATAACCCGGGTATCGGGCCTGCCCCCCTCCCCACCCCAGGGTAACCAAACCTTGCCGGACGTGCAGGTTCAGGGTGGGGGGGCGCGGGCATATGCAGGGCTGCCCACAGCGCGAAGGTTAGGTTATCGGCCGGCCCCCTCCTCCCTCCCCCCCTCCCAGACAACCCGGGGTATCGCCGATACAAAACGGCTTCCTGGCACACGAGGCGACAGCGAGGGAAGGGCATCGTTGTCGGCATCGATGCCGAAGCCCGTGCCCGCTCTTCGTCGTCGCCTCTTTGGCCGTCTTGGGGGTGGAGCTCGTCGCCCCAGCTGGATTCGCCTCGAGGTCCTTGTCAGAGCGCACCCTGGGAGAGGTCCAGGGAGCAGCGGTACCGGTATGCTCTTCCACGTCTGAAGTGGAGGCCTTGCTGTGTCTAGGCGTCTAGGCCCCCCACGCAGGAACAGGAGCCCCACCTCGTCCACATCACCATCACCACCATCATCAGCATCATCGTCATCGTCGTCGTCATCATCATCATCCTCATCATCAGCAGCAGCATCATCATCATCAGCAGCATCATCATCAGCATCGTCAGCATCAGCATCAGCATCATCATCATCATCGTCGTCATCATCATCATCACCATCATCATCGTCATCATCACCATCATCATCATTATTATCATCATCATCATCATCATCATCATCATCATCAACAGCACCAGCAGCACTTTGTGTGTTCAGCGGTCGTCACCTCTATGGCGCACAACCGACGCGACTAGGCTGTGGATTCGCACACCTGCTCGTTTCTTTTTTGTCTGCCCTCTGCTGTGCGCGAGGCCCTGATAAGTTCGAGCGCACCTCCGCCCGTGCTTGCCACTGCCGCCCGCTTGGTGGGTCCCCGACTGTCTCGGGTATGGAGCTCCCTGTGTAGCTCGATCGCGACTCATTGTCTCCTGCCCCTTCCTGTTGTGCTTGCTTATTTGCCTTTGGCACCCATCCTGCAAGGGCTGAGATGGTTTGGCTTCGTTTGCGCCCAAAGGCTTGCACTGTTTCAGTTGACGATTCGTGATATGGGCGATCAGCGAGCGTCACCCTTCCATTGCCATCGGCCCTGTGGGCAAAGCATCAGCAACAACCGCGGCCTCACAGTCATCTTCCTCCCCATATCATCGTCATGAGCATCACCATCGTTGTCACCCTCATCATTCTCATCATCGCTATCATTACAAAAGCCGTTGCCGCGGTCACCACCACTGACATGGTCATCAACCTCGTCATCGTGACCGCCATCATCACCATCATCAGCATCACCGTAATTACTCATCATCGTTTTCATCATCATGAGCATCAGCATCATCGTGATCATCATTTGTACCCTCCACCAGCGCCGCCCTCGACTTGTCTGGCCGCTGCATTTTCCTCGAGGGTCCTAACTGAGCATCCTGCGTGCTGGGCCGGCGGTCACTTGTGGCCGGCGGGGGCGTCTTGGAGCGCGATCCTCGTCGCGTCTTGGCCCGCAGGCCCCTGCGCTCTGCGGCCAGTGCGCGCCGTGAACTCATTATCAGGCGTCGTCGGATAAAGTTACGGACCTGTTTTTCATTTGCGCCCGATCATCAGCGCCACCATCACCAGTATCATTTGCGCCGTCAGCACCACGCTCATGACCAACATTCAGTGGCAAATGGTGAGGACGCCTCGGGCGGGAGCCTCTTCTGTTTGAGAGGAACCATGGACCTGGAGCCCCCCCGACCAGTCCGAAGCGGCCATCGGGAAACTTGGAATATGTAAGAAAAGCGTGTGGTGGTTGACACTGTGCCGATTCGATATTGAGGAAGGCTCGAGCGGGAGCCTTCTTTGTGAGTAAATTGCAGTGGCGCCTCGAGCGGGAGCGCCCCGCCCTATAGGGTCCCTACCTCACGTTTCTCATCCGAGGCGGCCATCGTAAAACATTTGTGTATGTATACACATATTTATATATCATACTTACATACATACCTACATACATACATGCATGCATGCATGCATGCATACATACATGCATGCATACATGCAAACATGCAAACATGCATACATGCATACATACATACATACATACATACATACATACATGAATACATACATACATACATACATGCACACGTAGACACATACAGACATGCATACACGCACGCATACATACACACCTACATACCTACATACCTACCTACCTACCGACCTACCTACATACATACATGCATGCATGCATGCATGCATGCATGTATGCACGCACGCATACATACATACATACATACATACATACATACATACATACATGCATGACTACATACATACATACATACATACATACATACATACATCCATCCATCCATCCATACATACATACATACATACATACATACATACATATACGTACATATGTATATACATACATACCTGCATACAGACAGACAGACAGACAGACATACAGACAGACAGACAGAGAGACAGACAGACAGACAGACAGGCAGGCAGACAGACAGACAGACATACATACATACATACTCAGACGGCCGAGCATACGTTCAAGACACGTCCTCTTGAACATAGGGGCCAGCGTTGCGTAACTAACTTGCCCGAACATTGGCCCAGCTTCCTGAGCACGGTCGTCCCTCCAGCTTGAACAACAAATATGTTTCGGGAAATTGGCCCCGGTGTCTAACATCCTGGTGTTTTTGTTCAGCTACGGCTGTATAGTTATACGTATCGGGTTGGGCGCTTGACCGCGTGAAGGTGAATCTTAAGAGAATGTCAAGCGGGAGCCTGACACATGAAGAACAACATGACGTTTTGCATATCCCCACCAGCCCATCAAGGAAGGATTGCTATGCGAGTTGCCCTGATCAGGGTGGTACAGCAGCATGCAGCCCAATGTTATCATGAGACCTTACGTATGTTGTTGTTGATTTCTCGAAGGAGACGTCGATGCCGCTCCTGGCGCAACTGGCGGCGGACCTGGGCCCGAGGTCGAGCACTCGCTCGATGAGCTCCGAGATGCCGAGGCTAGAGTCCGAGATGGGTCTGGCGGCCCTGGGTGCAGTGCCGCTCGCAAGGTCTGCAACGATCACAGTGGACTGGCCAGAGACCCCGCGGGAAGCTGATGCAGAGGGCGAAACTACGGCGGCCAAGGCGTGCTGCGTGGAAGCGCTGGACGCTCTGGAGAGCAGCGGAGCCTCGGAGGCGCAGGCGGACTGTCTTCGGACCCTGGCCGCCGTGCCGCTGCAGAGGGCGCAGCCGCCGGCCGACGAGGCGGCGGCCAAGGCGTGCTGCCTGGAAGCGCTGGAGGCCCCCCTGGAGAGCAGCAAAGCCTCAGAGGCGCAGGCGGACTGCCTTCGGGCCCTGGCCGCCGTGCCGCTGCAGAGGGCGGAACCGCCGGTCGACGAGGCAGCAGCCAAGGCGTGCTGCCTGGAAGCGTTGGAGGCCCCCCTGGAGAGCAGCGGAGTCTCGGAGGCGCAGGCGGACTGTCTTCGGGCCCTAGCCTCCGTGCCGCTTCAGAGGGCGCAGGCGCCGAGCGCCACGAGGCCCTCCGTCGAGCGCGCGCACACGCTCGAGATGCTGGAGACCCCGAGAGAGTTGTGGGAGCCCCTGGGCAACGAGCTGGTCACGGGGGTCCTCGCGCGCACGGTGGACGAGGCGCTTCAGTCGTCCTCCCCGCGCACTCACATGGATTCGCTACAGACGCCGAGGCTGGAGGACGCCGCGCCGTTGGACGCACAGCCTGCGCCGACATCGCTCACGGGCACGATGGTCTCGAGGCAGAGCCCGATATCGGTGGCCGAGGTGGTGCCCCTGGCGCTCCCAGACGCGGATCTGGCTGCGGGATCCCCCGTCGCAGACGCCATCGAACCAGCCGACCTGCCGCGGCGAGAGGAGCCAGAGGGCGAAACTACGGCGGCCAAGGCGTGCTGCCTGGAAGCGATTGTGGCCCTGGAGAGCAGCGGAGCCTCAGAGGCGCAGGCGGACTGTCTTCGAGCCATGGCCGCCGTGCCGCTGCAGAGGGCGGAACCGCCAGGCGACGAGGCGGCGGCCAAGGCGTGCTGCCTGGAAGCGCTGGAGAGCCTCCTGGAGAGCAGCGGAGCCTCAGAGGCGCAGGCGGACTGCCTTCGGGCCCTGGGCGCTGTGCCGCTGCAGAGGGCGGAACCGCCAGCCGACGAGGCGGCGGCCAAGGCGTGCTGCCTGGAAGCGCTGGAGAGCCCCCTGGAGAGCACCGGAGCCTCAGAGGCGCAGGCGGACTGCCTTCGGGCCCTGGCCGCCGTGCCGCTGCAGAGGGCGGAAACACTTGCCGACGAGGCGGCGGCCAAGGCGTGCTGCCTGGAAGCGCTGGAGAGCCCCCTGGAAAGCAGCGGAGCCTCAGAGGCGCAGGCGGACTGTCTTCGGGCCCTGGGCGCCGTGCCCCTTCAGAGGGCGCAGGCACCGAGCGCCACGAGGCCCTCCGTCGAGCGCGCGCACACGCTCGAGATGCTGGAGACCCCGAGAGAATTGTGGGAGCCCCTGGGCAACGAGCTGGTCACGGGGGTCCTCGCGCGCACGGTGGACGAGGCGCTTCAGTCGTCCTCCCCGCGCACTCACATGGATTCGCTACAGACGCCGAGGCTGGAGGACGCCGTGCCGTTGGACGCACAGCCTGCGCCGACATCGCTCACGGGCACGATGGTCTCGAGGCAGAGTCCGATATCGGTGGCCGAGGTGGTGCCCCTGGCGCTCCCAGACGCGGATCTGGCTGCGGGATCCCCCGTCGCAGACGCCATCGAACCAGCCGACCTGCCGCGGCGAGAGGAGCCAGAGGGCGAAACTACGGCGGCCAAGGCGTGCTGCCTGGAAGCGGTTGTGGCCCTGGAGAGCAGCGGAGCCTCAGAGGCGCAGGCGGACTGTCTTCGAGCCCTGGCCGCCGTGCCGCTGCAGAGGGCGGAACCGCCAGCCGACGCGGCGGCGGCCAAGGCGTGCTGCCTGGAAGCGCTGGAGAGCCTCCTGGAGAGCAGCGGAGTCTCGGAGGCGCAGGCGGACTGTCTTCGGGCCCTGGGCGCTGTGCCGCTGCAGAGGGCGGATCCGCCGGCCGACGAGGCGGCGGCCAAGGCGTGCTGCTTGGAAGCGCTGGAGAGCCCCCTGGAGAGCACCGGAGCCTCGGAGGCGCAGGCGGACTGTCTTCGAGCCCTGGCCGCCGTGCCGCTGCAGAGGGCGGAAACGCCAGCCGACGAGGCGGCGGCCAAGGCGTGCTGCTTGGAAGCGCTGGAGAGCCCCATGGAGAGCAGCGGAGCCTCAGAGGCGCAGGCGGACTGTCTTCGGGCCCTGGGCGCCGTGCCGCTTCAGATGGCGCAGGCGCCGAGCGCCACGAGGCCCTCCGTCGAGCGCGCGCACACGCTCGAGATGCTGGAGACCCCGAGAGAGTTGTGGGAGCCCCTCGGCAACGAGCTGGTCACGGGGGTCCTCGCGCGCACGGTGGACGAGGCGCTTCAGTCGTCCTCCCCGCGCACTCACATGGATTCGCTACAGACGCCGAGGCTGGAGGACGCCGCGCCGTTGGACGCACAGCCTGCGCCGACATCGCTCACGGGCACGATGGTCTCGAGGCAGAGTCCGATATCGGTGGCCGAGGTGGTGCCCCTGGCGCTCCCAGACGCGGATCTGGCTGCGGGATCCCCCGTCGCAGACGCCATCGAACCAGCCGACCTGCCGCGGCGAGAGGAGCCAGAGGGTGAAACTACGGCGGCCAAGGCGTGCTGCCTGGAAGCGGTTGTGGCCCTGGAGAGCAGCGGAGCCTCAGAGGCGCAGGCGGACTGCCTTCGGGCCCTGAGCGCCGTGCCGCTGCAGAGGGCGGAACCGCCAGGCGACGAGGCGGCGGCCAAGGCGTGCTGCCTGGAAGCGCTGGAGAGCCCCCTGGAAAGCAGCGGAGCCTCAGAGGCGCAGGCGGACTGCCTTCGGGCCCTGGCCGCCGTGCCGCTGCAGAGGGCGGAACCGCCAGCCGACGAGGCGGCGGCCAAGGCGTGTTGCCTGGAAGCGCTGGAGAGCCCCATGGAGAGCAGCGGAGCCTCAGAGGCGCAGGCGGACTGCCTTCGGGCCCTGGGCGCCGTGCCGCTTCAGATGGCGCAGGCGCCGAGCGCCACGAGGCCCTCCGTCGAGCGCGCGCACACGCTCGAGATGCTGGAGACCCCGAGAGAGTTGTGGGAGCCCCTCGGCAACGAGCTGGTCACGGGGGTCCTCGCGCGCACGGTGGACGAGGCGTTTCAGTCGTCCTCCCCGCGCACTCACATGGATTCGCTACAGACGCCGAGGCTGGAGGACGCCGCGCCGTTGGACGCACAGCCTGCGCCGACATCGCTCACGGGCACGATGGTCTCGAGGCAGAGCCCGATATCGGTGGCCGAGGTGGTGCCCCTGGCGCTCCCAGACGCGGATCTGGCTGCGGGATCCCCCGTCGCAGACGCCATCGAACCAGCCGACCTGCCGCGGCGAGAGGAGCCAGAGGGTGAAACTACGGCGGCCAAGGCGTGCTGCCTGGAAGCGGTTGTGGCCCTGGAGAGCAGCGGAGCCTCAGAGGCGCAGGCGGACTGCCTTCGGGCCCTGAGCGCCGTGCCGCTGCAGAGGGCGGAACCGCCAGGCGACGAGGCGGCGGCCAAGGCGTGCTGCCTGGAAGCGCTGGAGAGCCCCCTGGAAAGCAGCGGAGCCTCAGAGGCGCAGGCGGACTGCCTTCGGGCCCTGGCCGCCGTGCCGCTGCAGAGGGCGGAAACACTTGCCGACGAGGCGGCGGCCAAGGCGTGCTGCCTGGAAGCGCTGGAGAGCCCCCTGGAAAGCAGCGGAGCCTCAGAGGCGCAGGCGGACTGCCTTCGGGCCCTGGCCACCGTGCAAGTCCCAGGGGCAGTGGTGGTCGCGGCCGACGAGGCGGCGGACCCGGCGGACTATCCGACGCTGGTGCCTGCGTTGCTACCCGTCTCGCTGCCACCTCACGCGCCCACGTCGGACGCACTCTTAGAGACGCCCAGGCTGCAAGACGTGGCGCTGTTTGCACAAATGCCTCCCACGGAATCCTGTGCAAGCCCACGCACAGTCAGCGAAACCTCGTCCTGCTTCGGTCTGGGCGCGGAATCCCTGGAGATCGCCCTGGCGGCAGCGGTCCTGTCGTCGACCTCGAGGCCACAGAGCAGGCCCCACACGGCGAGCAGCCTGGACGCCAGCGGCCAGGTAGCCTCTACTACGCAGGAAGTCGCAGCTGCCGCTGCGAGCCTCATCAGCACCGCCGCGCTGCAGACTGCCGCCATGTCAAGGCCGGCGGCTTCCTCGGCGCCCGTGGTCAGCAGCAGCAAGACCGCGAAGGCCATGGCGGCCAACGCCGAGAGCGCCACGCTGCGGGCCGACCTGCCGAAGCCATCTCCCGTTGCGTCGGTGGTCAGCGCCAGCGAGACGGCAGAGGACGCGACGTCGCTGGCGCATGAGCTTGCCAAGACATCCGCGCTGCGGGCCACCGCCTCGCACGACAGACCTTCTCCTGTGGCGTCGCTGGGCAGCGCCGACGAGGCAGCCGTGGACACCGCCGCGCTGGCGCATGAGCTTGCCGAGGCCACCGCCGCCGCCGCTGCGACGCTGGCACTGCAGGCCGCCGCTGCACACGACAGGCCCTCTCACTTGGCGTCGTCGGGCAGCGCTGACCAAGCAGCCGAAGATCCGCAGGACGCCAACGCGCTGGCGGGCGAGCTGGCGAGGGCATCCGCGCTGCGGGCCAGCATGCCCTCCCCCGTGACGTCGGTGGGCAGCGCCGACCAGGATCCCCAGAACACCGCGCTGGCGGGCGAGCTGACTGAGGCGACCGCGCTGCGGGCCACCGCCGTGCACCGCAGTCCCTCTCCCGTGGAGTCGGTCGGCAGCGCCGGCGAGGCAGCCGAGGACGTCGGCGCGCTGGCGGGCGAGCTGGCCCAGGACACCGCAATGCGGGCGTCCCGCGTGCACAGCAGGCATACCTCTGTCATGACCCTGGGGGGCGGCAGCGTGTGCTCGACACCGCATAACGCGAGAGAGTTGGCACTGAGGGTCTTCGAGCTCGCCATGGAGGACACGCGCGACTTCGCGGTCGTCTCGGTGGCGAGCGGCATCAGTTCGAGGGCTGCCTCCTCGGTGGGCGGCTTGGTGGCGCCGGCCCTCAAGGTCGCGCTGCCGGCCGATACGCCAGACGCTGCTGCAGATGACGAGGATTCAGCGGCCAAGGCGCGCTGCGTGGGAGCGCTGGAGGCCATGAAGGACAGCGGAGCCTCGGAGGCGCAGATGGACTGCTTGAAGGCCCTCGCCGCCATGCCGTCCCAGGGAGCCGGCATCCCCGCGGCGGCGGTGGAAGCGGCGATCGTGGCACCAGTCAGGGTGGTAGTCGCTGCTGCAGATGATGAAGAAGAATCCTCGGCCAAGGCGCGCTGCGTGGAAGCGATGGAGGCGACGACAGACGGCGGAGCCTCGGAGGCGCAGGCAGACTGTATTCAGGCACTTGCAGCCGTGCCGCTCAAGAGGGCGGGCGCCCCCGCGGCAACAGCGGAGGTAGTCGTCGCGGCGGCAACCGGCACGGTAGACGTTGCTGCAGATGACGCGGGTTCGGCGGCCAAGGCGCGCTGCGTGGAAGCGCTGGAGTCTGTGGATAACAACAACGGAGCTTCGGAGGCGCAGGCAGACTGCCGGAAGGCCCTGGCCGCTGTGCCGCTCTCGTGGGCCGGCGCCCCCGTGACCACGGCGGAGGCGGCGGTCGTGGAGCCAGTCAGGACGCTGGACCCTGCTGCAGACGACGAGGATTCGGCGGCCAAGGCGCGCTGCGTGGAGGCGCTGGGGGCTGCGAAGGAGGACAGCAGGGCCTCGGAGGCGCAGGCGACTTGCCTTCGGGCACTGGCCGCCGTGCCACTGCAGAGCTCGGGCGCCCCCGTGTCGCAGCGGGTGGAGCAGGCAGAGGTGCGGCAGCGCCGGTCGCTGGAGGCAGCACCGCTGTCCCAGCAGGATGTCCGGTCGAGGGCGCCAGGATCCAGGCCTCCTAGATGGGGTCAGAGTAGATGGGGTCGGAGGGTCGCGCCGCATCGCCGATGCATCGTCGATGTGGCTCGATGTGGAGCCCGATTTGCTTCACGCGGACTTCGCCGATGCATCGCCGACGTCGCCAATGCATCGCCAGTGCATCGCCAGCGCATCGCCGATACATCGCCGATGCATCGCCGATGTATCGCCGATGCGGCGCGATCCTCCGACCCCATCCACTCCGACCCCATCTAGGAGGCCTCTACAGGAGCATCTCCAGGCGACCTGGTCACGGAGCTGGTTCAGCAGAAGGAGGCCGACGGAGGAACCGCAGCACTCTCACATCGAAGAAGAAGAAGAAGCAACTGCGTCAGCATAAAATTCTGACGGTCCGCGCGGATTTCCTAATTCTGCGTTGGGCCCCCTGGCGGCGCCTCCGGCGCCGCCCCTGGCGCGCTCCGCGCGCCAGGGAGGGGGTTTAGCTCAGATCCAGAGATCCTCGCGGACCTCCAAAACGTTACGTTTATGCCGTTGTTTGTTCTTCCATTTGCAAACGTCACCTCAGAACGCACCTGCCACTACGGGCATCTCTGGTGTGCATGTTAAGGGACTGTCCTTGGATAGTCGAGGATCTATGTTCCCCAAGATGCGCGATCGATTCCACGGCATTCCATGCATCGTCGTCTGTGGATTCTAGAGGGGACGGGGGGCTCTGGGTAGATGGGGGAACCAGCATAAGGAGTGAGTGTGCATGTGCGCGGCTGGGTGGGTAACGTCAGGCGTAAATTGCACCGACATCTGGCCCAGCCAGCTCATCCCCTGGCACGGGACTGGCATATCCCGTTGCCTTGCCGCGACTGTGCTTGAGGGTGGGTCGGGGGCGCCCAGTGGAGGGGGATGGGTGGCACAGAACGCTTCACACGAGCTGCTGTTTGGGACAACCAGTCGCGCGGAGAGGAGAGGGCAAAACAGGAGCAGGGACGGTTGCCAGAAGAACGAGCGCATGTTGGGCTCGATGCGTCGGGGGCCCGAATCAGGATCGCAAGGAGCGAGCATGACCAGAGAAGTCCGGGCCTCATATATACACACACATTCACACACACACACATTCACACGCACACACGCACACACACACACACACACGCACACACGCACACACGCACACACGCACACACGCACACACGCACACACGCACACACGCACACACGCACACACGCACACACGCACACACACACACAACACACACACACAACACACACACACGCGCGCGCGCACACGCGCACACGCGCACACGCGCACACGCGCACACACACACACACACACTCCAAACGTTGCAGGCGCAGTGGCGGACACAGCAGAGAGGGCATCCAAACGGTGTGGTTCTGTCCCCAGGCGCGTGGTGGCTTGGGAGGGGATCGCTGCGTCCCTGCGAAGTGTCCCCACGAGGGGTCCAGCAAGAGCGACTTCTCGGGGCCAAGCCAGCGCCCTCTCTCTGATCCGCTCTCTGCAGCATGCGGGGGCTACGTGTGGCGATTTCCTGGTACCTGTCAGGAGGGAACGAAACACACAGACACAATTAATCGTCGATCCCCAGGAAAATATGAGAAATAATCCAGAACATCTGAAATAATATGGGGAATCTTGGTATGTGCGTGTATTTATTGTTGTGTCCTTGGGCCCCTTCAACCTGGGAGGTGCCCCAGAGTCCCAGACTCAAACCACCCTCTCCCCCTTCTCCTCTGCCCGCTCCTCCTCTCTATTTCTCTCTCTCTCTTTCTCTCTCCTCCGTTCTCTCCTCCGCATAGCCATGTGGGCTCGAAGTGGCCACAGAGAGGCCATCCATTTGGCGTCGCGTGCTCCGTTGGAGCGCTGACTGGCGGGCCCCAGAGAGATTGCGCCCAAGGCCCTTCGGAGCTTAAGAGACGGGGGTCAATGCAAACGGGGGTCAGCCAGGGTACTGGGTCCTGCAGGATCCTGCGAAGACCCCCATCTGGCTGACCCGGATTAGCGAGCCGCTCGTGGCCGCGAGGCGGCCGCGCATATTGGATGACCCGGGTTTGCGAAGCCCTGCGTTGCAGTTTGTTTTTCCTGCATTGCAGTTTTTCGGTTTCTTGCTGACCCGAGTTTGATTGACCCGGGTAAGGAGATTCCCGAGCCCTGCCGCCTCACCCCAGCTGCGGGGCTTCGGCTGCCATGGGACGCCGCCCATGCGGACGGAGCTTCGGCTCCATGCGCGCCTGCATCATGAGAGGCTACAGCACCACTCAACGATGGACGGTCAACCAAACCTGCAGTTTGAGTTAAATCGGGCCTGTCCCTCTACTGGAGGAATATTCCAATATAGTTTTAAAAAACAGTCTGGGGACGACCATGTTTGAGTATGTTTGAATATGTTTTGACTATTTTTTATTTGTCGTCCAAAATCCCCTTGTAGGAGGACATGCCCGACCTAAAGTTTGGGCTCTTCCCACTTGTCTGTGCACTTCAGCTTTGTCTTCGGCTTCGGACGCGGGTGCGCCGTGGTGCGCCTTCGGGCCAGCTCACCCGAGTCGTTTTTTTTTCCGCTCGCACGGGTGCTCCACCCCCAGACCCCCGACATCGTGACTTTTGCACAGCGTCGACCCCCGGAGGTCTGGACCCCTTCCTCAGGACCGGCTTCTCCTGCCGACTCGTTGTTTGACGGTCCCAGGACCCGGTGAGGGCCCCCGGAGACCGAAAATAAACGAAAAACGACCCGTCGCAAGTTTTTCACAACGCGAGGGGGCCTGGGCACCCTGCACCATGGGACGCCGCCCGCTCTGACGGGGCTCCGGCTCCAGGCGCTGCGAGGCCGCCGGAGCCCCGTCAGAGCGGGGGCGCGGGGCACCGCACCGCCGTCGGGGCGCCGTTGGGGCTCTCTTGGGGCCTCTGGCCTTCAAAAGAGCCTTAAGACGGCCCAGGATGTCCCCAGGAGGGCCCCAAGACGGCCCGAGGCCCAAGGGAGCCCCAAGACGGCCCAAGAGGCACCACGAGAGGGGTTCCATCGGCTACAAGCAGGTGGGCAGCGCCAGGTTCGCCCCGTCGTTCGTCCGCCGCGCGGCGCCAGTGGGTAAGTCATCCAGTTTCATGCCGTCGTTCGTCGCGGCCACCACTTGACCTGGGGGCGCGCCGTTCGTCGTTCTTCGAAATCAACCACTCGGGGCATGTGGTTTCCGTCGTTTGTCGCCGCCTCGGCTAATTGGATTTCAATATCATCAGGGCCACTGTGCCCCCGTGCCCCCTGGTCTCTGGACGGGCCGCCGCCGCCGAACCCGATGCGTGCGAAGTGCACCTAGTGTTCGGGGCTGCCGCCGTGCCGCCGCCGCGGGTTCGCGGCGGGATATCGCGCCGAGATGCGCCGAGCTCGCCCGCCGCCGAAATACAAGAGTGGCGCCAGTTGTGTGCATGGTTGCGTTCGGCCCCGGCTCCTTCTGTGGGTTATTTCAAATATGTTTAGGAATTCAGCTTCGTGGACAGGATGTTTTTTGGCTTTCGCGGATTCTTTCAAGAATTCATGCACCTAAAATTCGCAAACTTGCGCAAAAGTGTGATTATTCGCTCCAGTGATTTCTTTATCCCGAAAAAATGATATTTAGAGGTTGTTTTATGTGGTGTTCGTCGTTTGAGTAGAGCAGTTCACGTCGGAATGCGAGTTTGTTTGCCGTTTTTTCGAGAAAGGTGGGTATGCTCCCCAATCAGAGCTTGCATCTGTAGGGGTCCTAGTGGATTCATATGGTTGGGTTAGGTTTGCCGCCGATTTTCGCGGCACGCCCGGGTGCCCGGGGGTGCCCGGGTGCCCGGGTGCCCGGGCGTGCCCGGGGGTGCCCGGGTGCCCGCCCGGTAGCCCTATAGCTTGATAACCCTAGAGCCTTATAGCCCTGTAGCCCTCTAACCCTATAGCCCCAATAGCTTTATAACCCTGTAGCCCTAATAGCTCCATAGCTTTATACCCTCATAACCCTATAGCCCTATAGACCTATAGACCTATAGCTTTCTAGCCCTATAGCCCGATAGCCTTATAGCCCTATAGCCCTATAGCCCTTTAGCCCCATAGCCCTATATCATTAAAAAGACTATGATTGGATTTGTTCTCTGGTATCATTTCTTCATGTCGCGTTGTTTGCCGATGGAAAAGGGACTTCAGTATTCAGGACAATCAGTTCGTTTAACGTTTTTCCCCAGCACGTAGTTCAATCTAGAGAGACCCCCCTCATGAGGCACCTGGGACCGCCCAAGACGGCCCCAAGAGGGTCCTAAGGAGGCGCCCAAGACGGCCTCAAAGGTCCCCAGAGGGCCCCAATAGAGGCTCAATATGGGGGATTACACTTGACATGTCGAGCCCTCCGCCCCCAGAGGGCTCCCGAGACCGCCATCAGGCCCCCAAGATGTCCACAAGAAGCCCCAAGACGCTCCCAAAAAGCCAACGAGAGGCCCCCAAGAGTTCCCCTGGACCGCCCCCAGACGGCCCGAGAAGCCCCCAAGAGTGCCCGAACACGGCGCAAACGAGCCCCAATATGATCCAGAAGGCGCCCAAGACAGCCAAAAGGGCCCCCAGAGGGCCCCAAGAGAGGCCCAAGATGGGGGATTCCGCCAGCTCGCATTGGCCGAAAGAGGAGGACGAAGTGGAGGGGGAGGGGGAGGGGGGAGAAGGAGGAGGGGGGGAGAAGAGAATCAGACGGAGGGGGAGGGGAGGAGGAGGAGGAGGAGGAGGAGGAGGAGGAGGAGGAGGAGGAGGACGACGAGACCCGTTTCGTGTGAAACATCCTCAAGAATGCAGGGTTTCGAGATGCCCTGACTTGAGGCGATCTGACCCAACTCGCACGGGACATCCTCACAACTCGGGGTTGCAAAATGAGGTTTTTGAAGTGTTCCAGCCCGTCTCGCGTGAGACATCATCGGAATTCCTGGCTAAGAGATGCCCTGGCTTGAAGTGATCTGGCCCGATTCGCTTGGGACATCCTCACATATCTTGGCTCCGAGGTGCAATTCTCGAAGTGTTCTGGCCCGGCTCGCGTATGGCATCCTCAGAATTCAGGGGTCCGAGATGCGTTGGCTTGAGATGAGCTGGCCCGATGCCCTTGGGATCCATAGAATTGTTTTGGGTTGCAAAATGAAGTTCTTGAAGTGTTCCAGCCCGTTTCGCGTGAGACATCCTCGGGATTCCTGGCTCCGAGATGCCAGAGTTGGAGTGATCTGGCCCGATACGCCTGGGATATCCTCACAACTTTGGGTTGCAAGATGCGGTTCTTGAAGTGTTCCGGCCCGTCTCGCGAGAGACAGCATCGAAGCTCCTG